ACTTTACTTGGATTTATCACTTTACTTGGATTTTCACTTTATTTGGATTTAGTTTTTACATATGCATATATATACGTACATATCAGTGGCGGCCGGCCCATAGGGGGCGCTGGGGCACCGCCCCCCCTGATAAGAAGAGAGAAACGTAAAATATATTTTTAGAAATTAACTCATAAATGTCAGTTTTACTCTCTAGACTGTGTACCTATAAGCAAAACAAATTATATAAACTACATTTCCCTATCTACTGTCATTAATTTGTGGATTTCCACAGACAGACTCCTACCGTCTCTGTTCTGGGGGCTGTGATCAGACTGACCCACATTTGCAGAGAATCTGTCAATCATGTACTATTGCTAGGTGAATTTAATGGCCAATCAGCGTCTCGGAACTTTATGGTCTTGGGGCGCTGAAAATACTGCGCTTTAACAGGCTTCTGAACCCAAGCGCAGGTGCAGACAATTAGAGGGAAGATGGCGAATGTAACGACCGAGATGCAGCTTCCACCAAATTCGGTGAGATCCTTATTTATCTACCCGTTTGCCAGAAGAACATCCCTGTTGTAGGATATGAACATTTCATGTCATGGTTATTGTGACTGTGACGAATCCACCTCGTCGCTTAAAACAACCTCTCTAACTTTGCGCGCCACACACACATTCCTGTTATACTGTGCTTGTGAGGACCAATTCACTCGCGCTGAGCCAAGTAGCTCCATGAACTTAAAACACACAAGCTGTTCCTGGTTACCGAGCTGTTACTGGCGTATTGAGGGTGCACACTTAATATTTCAGTGGGGTTAGCCGTGTGTGTGTGTGTGGGGGGGGGGGGGGGGGGGGGGGGGGGGGGGTGTACGTGTTTATGCTATGGGGACTTGTCATCTTCAGTCTGGCTGCGTCTTTGCTGGGTTCAAACCCAGTTTGGTGTAATTGAATAAGTCAATGAATCTGTGTAAAAGAATTAAGTTGTAAAAATTATTTGTTTTTGTACATCAATTGTTTGTGGAGGTAATATATGGACAAAACTGATTAATGAGAAGAAATCAGACATAAGAGAGCCTGAGGTGAGGGGCTTATACTATTTAATGAGGGCTGTGGGAAGAAAAGCGGCAATTTTTGTTTTCTGTTTCTTTGTTACATTGCTGGTAACTGGAGGGAGGCTGAGGCCCAGAGGATCTTGTATATGTTTAGTTTCTTTTGCACCCTGTTTTGAGTTTTTGAGCACAATAAATCACCAACACCCGTAACCCGAATGAGCCTGGATTCTTGGAGGCCAAAGAACCCCGTCACAGTGACCCAAATCATCACTGTTACTGTTATTATATAGAAAATTAAATCATTACTGTTAAATTGTATGTATTGTCCAATTGTTTATTTGAATTCTTATTCCGGATTAGATGGAGACATACACTAGGCTATATCAGCCCCACCAAAAATATTTTTCACCAGCCGCCACTGGTACATATATATGTAGAACAGCTACATGTGTATATATTTTATCTCTTTTTATTCTTATTTTTTATCTTTATTATATTGTGTAGTTGGATGTCTGTATATATTATATAAAACTGTAACTGGAGCGTGTAACAAAAGTAAATTCCCTCTGGGATTATTAAAGTATTTCTGATTCTGATCTGATTCTGATTCATTGAGTCGATCTACATAGACTGTGTGGGTAAAGCAAACAGGTTTGGTAACTATTTGAAAAAAACAATTATAATAATGGTGAATAGTATAAATAGTCTGCTTACATAAATATCTTCAACTGCTGAGACCAGAATAAAAAGATATATATATAATCATGAAAATTTTCTTATTTTAACAAATAATGAGACTAAATATCAATCATAAAACCTAGAAAAGCTGACTTTGTCCACTCTGACAGAAAAAGCTATAGCCAGATTTACCTCCACCAACTCCTCATAACACACACTTGGCCAAAACATTTGAAAACTGCCTTTTTTGTATTGTGTTTGTCATGTAAAAGCTCATTAGATAATTGACTATAGGGAAGATGGAGACAGCCCCACTGGTTGATGTACTTGCTGCCCATGATGGGAAACTCCATCAAATAATTATTTTTTAGATGCAGATGCTTGGGTCTAAGAAGGGGTAGGCAATGTCAGTCCTTAAGTGCCACTGTCCTGCAGATTTTGCATGCATTCCTTCTTCAACACACCTGGAATGAATAAATGATCAATGGCAAGGCTTCTGCCTAACTTACCAACATGCCAAGGAAGTAATTTGGCCTTTTGTTTCAGGTGTGTTGGAGCAGGCAGGCATGAAAAAGCTGCAGGACAGCGGCACTTGAGGACCAAAATTGCTTACCCCTGGGTTAAGGGCTTGGCTCAGGTTAAGGCTGTTCACCATGGTGAACAATGCAGCTGTCATGTTTGGCTTTGAAACCAATTCCATCTGTTTTAAGAAGAATGTCCCGTAAGGGATAAATAAAGTCATAAAGTAAATCTGATTATAAATCTCAACTACCATTTATCTGGCATGATACGCCTCACAGGGTCTCATGCTACACTCTGAAGTACATAACGAGACCATGTGCCTGGCAGGTATCTGACACAAAAGTTCAAGAGTTACGCTAATGAAACGTGAAGGAGAGGGGTGAGCAGAGTCTGAAGTAAATCCTTTTTTCACCCAGTCTCTTCAGTAAAAACAAAAAAGAACAAAAAAAACAACGGCACGTAAATGGAAACTATTTCCTTAATTCAAATGTATCATGCACTTAATTTTTATCATGCAATTAAAAGTCTTTTTGTTTCTTTCGGCAGGTCAAGCTTCTTGGCTTTCATTGCCAGACCGTCTAGAGCCGTCTAGTATCTTGGATTGCTCAGGTTGCACATGACAGCCATGCATCTGATCACCTTAGCCACAAAAGGAACTGAATATTTTCTTTTTATTTTTCATTTATTTTTCATTTATTTTGGCTTCATGTCTCTTAAAATAAGCTTTGAAATGAAGTAAAAAATTTGAAGAGTGTGCCAATTTTTTATCCAATTACTTAAAAAGCTGTTAAAAAAAAAAAAGATAAGTAGAACACTCAAAAGCCCTATTTACATTACCCTTTTGAAACCATGCCGAGATCCGTCTGAGCACGGTAACCAAGATAACTGTTGAGTGTAAATGGAATGCAAAACTGAACTTGACCGTGCCAGACACAACCGAACCGCACTAAATCTGTTACTAGTTCAACAGTAGGGCTCGGCATGGTTCAGTTGTAGCTCAGTTCTTAGATAACAAAGAGCGCATGAGCAGACCGCTTCATCTCCTATTTTTAGACTTAGATTTGTTTGTCATTTTGTACTGTATAACCAAGTGTAGACAAAAAGAAATTTCTTTTAGAACTGCTCTCTAGACAATTTAATTTTTTAAAGTGAAGCCTTGATAAGGTAAGCAGCAGTTGTTGTTGAGCTGCTACTACTGCCTCCAGCTCCTGAAGCACTCGCTTCTCCTGGCTCAGGGGAGGAAGAGGACGATGATGACGATGTTGTAAGGGTGGTAGCCCCCTGGGTTGACGAGGCTGACGTGGTTGAAGCAGCATTGGTGCCATCAGCAGGTTTAGCAGTGACAGACGATGCTGGAGAAGGTGTGGAAGCTGGAGGGGGCCCTGAGGAGCCGGCTGCTCTCCTCATCTTCACCTGCAGAGGGCTGTGCTTCCCCTTTAGCAAACTATCTGAATTTGAGCTATTTGAGCAAGGTTATTAATCTACAAATGTGCAAATCAGCTGAGGTTCTAAGCAGTATCAAATATGACAATGATACTTCATACAAAAACGTGTCACAGTTTTAAGTGTTGATTTTTAAAAGATAAACAGAAGCTTGTGTCAATTTCACTTCAACGTAAAGCTAAATTTGAACAGATGAAGAAGCGCATCACAAAAACCTCCAACATGCCAGCAGTGAAGAGGAAGGTAGGATTAGTTGATGAGTTTCTTCAGCATCAGTTCTTCCTTATAATTGATGAAGAATTTCCAAAGGTTAGAAAAATGAAAAGCATGAAGCCTGCTTAAAAATAACTGGCTGCATTTGTGAAATACGGATTATGCCTCGGAAATAACTACTGTTACAAACAGTTAACTCAACAGCAGACATGCAGAGGAACAGAAACTCCTTTAAAAATAATCACAGCTCAGTAAAGTGCTTTGAAGAATACCACGGGATGCTGTGAACTTAAACATTTCAGTAGTCCTCTTTTAACTTCACCAACTCTACATGTGCCACTTCCTTATAGCTTCTGGAAAATGAAGGCAAGGCTGTGCAACATTTTTTTTTATTTTTTTTATTCGTTTATTTGATAGGGACAAGTATGTTTCATGCATCATGTCACACACTACAACATTTTAGCTAAGGCTAATTCTCCATGTCTGTCCCCACAAAACCACATTACTAAAAGAATCTGATAAAACCCACATTTACCACAAAAAAAGCTCTCAGAAAGTTGTTGTCTCACAAAAACATATACATAAATAGACATAAGATCATACTGAGTCCAGATGTGTGGGAAAACATCAGTCTGCTGACTAAAGGCCATGGGTTTGCTCCAGATTTCAGCAAAAAAAAAAAAAACGTCTCTTAATGCTTTTGATTAGAAATCTGTAACCCGATTGTATTCGTAGCAGAGAAAACGCATATTAATCTAACAGAAAATGAAAAAAAGTCAATTTATGTTAGGGTGTAATCACATTTAAAATATAATTTTTGTGCATTTTGTAAAAAATGTTTCGACCTTTTTTTTATTGCACGTTTTAATGCAAAATACTTAAGTCCCCTCCCCCCTCCTGAAGGAGATACTCTGGCTTTCTGAGCAGTGAGCCACTCTCACATAAAAGCTCAATGCTCAGATTTCAAGAGCCAGGTACAAAAATACTTCTCAGTAAAGGGCAGTGTTGTCTTCTTCTGTTTATCTGCTCAGAGGCCATGCTGGGTGATTCGGGGGCGTGAGCCTGCTAAAGGAGGTTTTATGAGCTGGTTTTCATTAGGATCACAATAAACAGCAGTAAAGCAGCTAGAGTCAGTGTGATGAGGAAGGAGAAGGAGTTGTCATGACGATGTCTGTCGAAAAGAACTGTCACACTGCGAAAGGATTAAATTGTTTTGGTGCCAGTGCCTTTAGACTCTGAGGTCAGTCACTCTGTAATTTAGCCAAAACGCTCTTGGGAGCCTGAAATCACTAACATTAGGCTCATGAGGTTTAAGAGGTGAAGGACTTGAAATACCAAAGGATAAACACACAAAATGTCACCTTGCAAATATGTTCAGACCGTTTGGACTTTTTGGCAAATTACATTTAAAAGATAAATGTGTTTTATTTGATATTTTATTTGAGTCCAAGACCACAACGTTAGTCTAAAACTCTGAGATCAAAGGATTACTATACATTGTTTATTCATTTCACATAAACACAAATCTGAAAAGTGTGGCATGTATTTGTCTAAGTGTAATCTCTCAAGTTTTCTAGGAAAATCTCAGAGGTTAATTGATAATCATTAGGGCTGCAACAACGAATCGATAAAATCGATAAAAATCGACTTTTAAAAGCGTTGGCAACGAATTTAATCATCGATTAGTTGTGTCGCGCGATTAATGCGTCATCCACCGCCGCCGTCATCCGGGGGAAGAAAAAAAAATATGGCGGAGCGAGTCAGCGCCGCAGTTGCAGTGTTGCCAACTCAGTGACTTTTCAGACCCCTCCAGCGACTATTTTTCAAAAAAGCGACTAGCGACAAATCTGGCGACTTTTTACGGTGTCACTGGCGGCTTTTGCCTGCCGTGGGGCGCCTCCCCCATCCCAACGCCTTTCTCCCTCTCCCACAGGAATCCCTCTCAGCGCGGCAGTCAGAGTCAGAGCCGCAGGATTTTAGTGAGGAGTTTACCCTCAGCGTCCAGACTGCAAATGAAGCGCACATGCGCCGGGATTGACGGCGCAAATTGATCACAATAATTAAAATAGCCTGCGCTTTGTAAAGTGAAAAAAGTCGTAACATGCAACTTTTGTAAAAACAAATGAACATGGCACGGAACCACCACTGTTATGACGCAGCACCTGAAAAGAAAACACGTTGGAGCCTTCAATGGCAGTGAAGAGAGCTGATCAGCAGGATGAGTAACCATGTTTGTTTCATTTTAAAGAGGGGAAACGTAACGTTAGTTTCTCAGGTAGCTCATCTGATGCTTTCCTTACCTTGTTAGTAGGTTACAGACAGTGATAAGGTTGGCTACTTATTTTACTTTTAATTTCATTTAAATTTGTTTAAGCAGCGTTTATATTTTCTTTATAAATAAATTAACTTGCAAATTATGAGGGCAAGGCTTTTAAAGTTTAAATCTTCTGGCAAAGATAAAGAAAAGAAGATCCTGCAATTTATGGAAGTAAAGCAGAATAAAATCCAGCAAGATCAGTAATATGTCAATTAATTATATGCCACATTCCCATGTAAATATCTGTCTTTGGAGGATGTGTTTTTTAGTACCCCTAGTTCTCTCATTTTTATTCCAAATACAATTTATAATTTGAATCACAGGGCTATTTTTATCTCTATGGTTCAGTATTTTCTCAAGCAGCAACTTTAACTGCTATACTTTCCTGTCTTAAAAGGCAGAACTCTTCTAGTCTAAAAAAAACTCATTTGTTGAAATGGGGGGACCTATTGTTTGAACCCCTTAGGGGCTTTAAAAAACAAAAATGCCTGTCTCTTTTTGCGCTTTATGAAACAAAGTAGCCTATATTTTGTGGATGTACAGCTACATTTCTCATGTAAGTTTGCGTAGTTTTTACACAAACATTTATTTTTCATATTGCACCAGTACAGTTAATGAGCAACCTATACTTGTGTGCTTGTTTGTTCTGTCTAAAATGTTTATTTTGGAATAAAGAGGTTAATATAAAAATTTTTTTTTGTCCGATTCATCGATTAATCGAAAAAATAATCGGCCGATTCATCGATTTTTAAAATAATCGTTAGTTGCAGCCCTAATAATCATCAATTAATTAGTTTTGAGTGTGCTCGTGTGTGCCACTACTAATGGTATTTACACAACTATTACTGTTATATAAATGCAGAAATTGCATTAATTCGCACTATATAAACTGAATGTTGATAAAGATTCCCAAACCATTTTTCTACCACATTTCCTTTCCAAAGTTTTACCACACATTATGTTTTTCCAATTATGTTTTGTGAAAACTATGATACGAGCAATTCTTGCTCATATCTTACATTTCAAGAGTCAATTATATATTTGTAGACAAACACATTTTTTCACTTATTTGTGTATAGTTTTGGCTAATTTAATCCTATGAGTTTCCTGTTCTTTATCCAAATGACACGACTTAATGTTTGCATACTTCAGTCAACAGTTACTGAAGTGCTTAAACAGAAGTATTTCAATAATCAATCATGATTATGAATTGTTTTGGGCCCCAAAACATATACAACTTTGAAACGCTTTGAATAGGACCTCCTTCCTAACGAGACCCTTGAATAAAATTCCTTTATCACAAATCATCTAATAAGCAATAGTCGTTGCTGTCAGGTTGGGTGGAGGCTTTGAGGACCCAAATGTAGAGATGAGTTTTGCTGTGACTGAGTGGATGTGCTCTCTTCGTCCTCTGGCATAAGAGCTGGCTCGGAGCTCGTCTGCCTGGCTGTGTGTTTCCTGGACGGGGCCGCCTTTTACAGCTGCTTTTTGTATCTCTGCTTCTGTCTCCTTGAACCCCAGTCGGCCTCAGTAGATGGCCGCTCACACTGAGCCTGGTTCTGCTGGAGGTTTCTTCCTGTTAAAAGGGAGTTTTTCCTCTCCACTGTCGCTACTAGCATGCTTAGTGTGAAGGATTGTATTTGAGTCAATGAGTCGATGCAATCAACTGGTTTTCCTTAGATAGAAAACTTTGTATCAGTTTGACTGTATGATCTGGTTGAACTGTAAAGTGCCTTGAGATGACATGTGCTGTGAATTTGGCGCTATATAAATAAACTGAATTGAATTGAATTGAAAAAGGGCGGGGATCCAGGTGAAAAAAGGGTCCCAGCGTTCTTGCGCACCTGGCGCTTCTAGCTGGTCCAACTTCTTGAGTTGTTTTCCGCAATCGCGTTCATACAAAGAAAAACAAGCCGGTAAGGTACCAAACATGAGACGCATAGTGTAGAGCGGGGCGGGGACATCCCTGTGTTCACCGCGACACCTACGCAGACGACCTACTTTCGAAATATAAATCGGCCTTTAAGGTACCAAACAGATAATACGCATAGTGTAGAGCGGATGTAGATTTGACAGATCCGAGGCCTCCTGGCTGCAGAGTGCGGAGGGGGCAGGGGCATGTCTGCCTTAACTGCGACACACATGCAGACCACCTGGTTTCTGAGCATAAACCAGCCTTAACTAGACGGGAGCCAAGGGTAAAGGAAACAGGCACAAGGGGGCAGCAGAGAGAAACTTGAGAAATACCAAACTGAAAGAAAACAAAGATACAGAATATAACAAAGAAACTAAAAATAAACTAAAACAAAGGGCAGAACCCTGACAGTTCTAACCTAATAAAACAGAAAAAAGCTCAAAAATTGTGAATATACTTGGAAAATAGTTTCTGTCTGTGTTTTTTTTTTTTTTTTTTTTGTTATTATTTCCTAAATATTTCTGTAGATATTGTTGAACAAATAGTCAACTAGAATAAATGCTACCAACAACCAAATTGTAATATACAACACAAAAAAAACACACAAAAATTTTAGCACGTGCTTAATTATACGTGTAATAAGCGAGATTTTACATGCAGGCTAAAATATAAATGAAATACAGTATGGTTTGTTTATTTAACATTATGAAAATAATGTTATTGCTATAGTTGGGTTAACAGACTCACCCTGAAGGAGGTTTGGAAGATTCTGTCATGACGCTGAAAAAAAATCCCCTCCACAGTTTAAAGACGCTCCAAATCCATCACAGCATCACCCGGACGGTGCGGAGAAACACCACAGCCAGTTAGTTTTATATGCCTTGCTCTCTTTAAACGGTCCCTCCACAAGAAGTGTAATTTCTTAAGTGAATATCTACAAGCAAGAAGCGCTGGAGGTGATAAAAGTTCACTTTGACCTGAAGCGCTTAGTTTGATGCTTTTAGTTACAGCTCAGTTAAACTCGCTTCAGCAATAAAACAAAAAGTATTTTCTATTGGCTTTATTACTTGTCAAATCCACTTGATATAATCCGCTTCCCCCAGTGGCTGAATAACCTCTAAAACGTCAAGGTGCAGCAATATATTCAGTTACAAAACTACTTCCGGGAAGGACCTTCAAGATAAAACTCCAACAACGCTTCGTTTTTTTCCACTGTGGTAAAAATCCATTATCCATTTTTCTTTAGGTTTGCAGGAGGGTGGTAGAGTGTCTGTAGGCTTATAAGGAGAGGGGAAGGGTACTTCACAGGACAAAGACAAACCCAAAAACTCAGTTCTGTTAGATCAGCATACCTGTAGTCAATGCGCAAGTTCAGATTTAAGTTTATCCCTTTAGTTTTGTACGAAAAATAGACTTTAACCTCTCAAAAAGGTGTTTACATATAATAACTCAGAATGCATGAAAATTACACTGGTAAAATATTTGCCAATATAGACATGTTAGATGTTGTTGGAAAGCTTAGATTCTCCACAATTCAACGATTTAGTTTATTTTGATGTTGGAGATTGGCCTGTTTTTCCAGTGCAGTCCTGTTTCTCTGACTGTGACTGGATGGATGTGCTCTCTTCATCCTCCGACATGGGAGTTGGCTCAGAGCTTGTCTGCCTGGCTGTGTGTTTCTATGGAAGCTCATTGGTAGAATTCCCTTATGACAGAAAGAAGGCCACGATTCCCACCATCTATCATCCGGATGAGGGGACACATTTAATTACAAAAACGATTTCATACAGCTGTCTTAAACACTTCATACATATAGCAACGAGTCTTCAAAAAGTCTGTTATCCCCAACCTTCAGTCCATCTGAACCAGCCTTTATAGTTTCCACATCGCACTGTGTGGATGCACGTGCACGACTGGACGCTCTTCCTGGAGATCTCTTAGCTCATGACCTGATTTCGTGCGAGTCAGCCAGTAAGAACCCTGTTTTTGTCAAGATTCGTACGTGACT